GTTTCCGAAGACAGTTTACTTCAGCTGCACTTACAACGTGAAGTAGATTAATAGAAGCGAGGAAGGAAGGATAGTTGTTAGAGCAGGCGAATTTTCAGGGAATCTGTAATTATTAGCGAGCGACGTTCGTAAGGATCGGCGAATTAGATGAATCACGGTGACTGCACAGTCTAGAAAATGATAGACTCCGCGACCGAACGCACCGAGACCGCTAATTGAAGCGCTTTAACTTTTCCACTTATTTTTCCGCTTAACAAGCTATTAACTCTCCGAGCCAGCGGCTGCTTTAAAATTACTTCTTACTTCTTTACGACTGTCTCGTGAAATCATCGTTATTGTCACTACGTTCGTCACTTTCGACATTAATTTTTCGGAAATCCCAAGAAAACTCGCGTGTTTCGCGCGATTTGTTAACTTTGCGCCCGGAAAATCGCCGCCAGCATTCATTCCTTTTTCCCAAACACGCCGAGAGAAAGCTCTCCCCTTTAAGGATTTCGATCCGACTTCTCTGAGACTGCAGACCTTGACTCTCTCGCCGGGATCAGCCGTAGAAGAGCGTGAAAAATGCAACTGTCATGGAAACGAAATCGAAACTCGCAGCAGAACGAATGTCGAATAATTTTGCCGAAAGGCTGCTCTTTTTCACGGTTTGTCAAATATTAACTAATTCCTTAATTAACCGTCATTTCAATAAAACAAATTACAAAATTATGATATATAGATACAATATGTATATATTGATTAATCTTGTAATTAAAAAATTACTATAACATAAATCTGAATTTCAGTTTCCAAAATAATTGATGTGTAATATTAATAAGTTGTGGTGAGTAGCTTGTATCGTTTTCCACTGAACAGTTCGTTTGAATCGATCCAAGAGCGATTAATTGCCACTTTAATACAAATTCGTCTTTTATTGGCGGCTAAGATACAATGACGATAATTGATCCCGGATCGACCAAAATCTATTGAGTCGAAAACGCTATTGGCTTTCCTCAAAATTTGGTCAGTTACCTAAAAAAAAAGTCACTTCAGCAGACAATTAGGGTGCTCTTTGTGTATTGACATTTTCATTGAAGAAAAGCTGGGACGTTATTCTCAACGGGATCCCGATTCAGAAGCTGCCTCGGGATCCAATGAATGGAAACCGCCCCGCTGCTTCCATCTATTGCCTCGGTTATCGCGTTAGGACAAGGACAAAGGATGGCGCCGGCAATGATATCGCCATTGAGGAGGGATGCGGAGAAGGGAGCGTTCCGGACCGGCGGCGGCGGCGACGTCGCAGCGACGGAGAGGAGCGGACACGAGCAACCTGTTGCTTTTACGACACCGGGATATATCCGCGTGCCTCTCCTCCGCAACGCGTGGCAGCACCCACACGCAACATGTTGCAATGCCCGAACCTACGACCGTAAAATATTCACGCGCGACGGACTATTCAGCTACACACCCGAGAGCCGTGCGCCGTGCACGTAGGTGGATAGTTTACAGCCGTGGAAGCGCGCGACAAGTGAGAGTTTCGCGCTTGCACGAATCGGGAAAGCGGAGAGGTTCGATTCCACGGCAGTCGCGTTTGGCGTTTCGAGAATTTTCGTAAAAAACTTAGAAACCGCAGACGTATAACTTGCGAAATGTATAATAATTGTAATGAAATAGATGCAATATTTGTAAAAGAAAAAAAATGTATGTATCGAATTCCTTTGGATTCCTGCGGACTGATTATCCAGTTGCAGTTATCGCTCGAGACAAAAGACTACCCTATCTCTTGCCTGTTTCAACGGTTATCTCTTTAGAACGTCAAAACGAAGTACTTTTGTGAATTCCAGTAACCACTATGCGGTTAATGGTCAGGCAATCTGAAAGTTAAAAGTGATTCTACGATGGCCAAGATATTTTAAACGTGACTAATGCTCAACCGCAGAGTTATTTGAAATAAAATAAAATTATGTTACATTTAGAAATAACAGGAAATTTATGTTTCACGATTCTTTATAAATTTTGACTGTCAAACTGGTCTGCTTCTTAGAAGAAATGAAATTATCGAGTTTGAATATATTCCCAAAATCTATCACGAAAATCTCGAAAAGTAATTCTGCAACAAGCTTCTCCCATCAGCGCTCAAGATTCTTGAGAAGCGAGACGAGCGCGTTTCGATCGATCGTCGGCGCGGCAACGAGTAGCAGGGAAAGAGAAAGAGAGACCTAGCGCCAAAATAAATCAATAAAATAGTGAACCGAGTCGGGCACGTTGGTGCATACACATATACAACGTATGGCTATAGACGTATGGATACCAGGCGAGACGAAGAGAGTCGTGGCGCGGCGCGACGGGTGAGGAAGAGAGAGAGAGAGAGAGAGAGAAAAAGAGCTGAAACAGACGAGTAAGCGAACGAATGAGCGAGCGAGCGAGGTCGAGACACGCGGCAGCTGTCTGGCGCCAGGGGTCCCCCTGTTCCCTCAAACAGTCGCGCCGAATGCCACCCACCTTAGCCGACCGACCTATCGTGCCATTCTTAAACCTGCCTGCATCTCGGGAGCCGGCTGCTTTCCCTCTCTTTCCTTCCTACTAGCGTTGAACCACGTTCCTGCGACCTTCTTCCGCTCGTCCTGCGCTGCGGATGCAGCTTGTGTCCGAGGACTCGCGTGGTTTTTGGGGGAAACGACGTCTCGTCGCTGGCCAGGATCTCGCGTTTCTTCCCGCCGCTCGTGCTTCGCGAGACGTAAGTTTTAAACCGAATTATAGAATATTAAAGATACGAATATATTCTTATTCCTTTACATATGTATAATTTTTATTGCCGAATTTATTACCGAATTAATGTAAAACTTTTTGGAAAGAAATCAAGCATTCGGAAAGAAGTTTAGAGAGATTTGACCGCGGCATGAGTTGGAAAACGCTCGATCGGGTCTTGATATTTCTGTTCTATCCCGGAAGCGGCGTTCTATCTATAACTGGCTCAAATAAAAAGGCAACCACGCGCGTGTTTATGATTCCGTGCCATCCTCACCGGCGCTCTAAACGTATCGCGTATTATATTGCCGTGCGCAATATCACGGAAATATACGTGACATTCGCTAAGCCGACGAAAACACGAAATCGCATTACGATGACCCTCGTTTCCGGCAAACGGAGCTTGCTGCGGTCGAGTGTGCGTGTATCTGTGCAACGTCGCTCTTATAAATTCCAGGAATTCCGAACCCGAGCAAGAAACGAGAAACTTTTTATCACAAAAAGTACACATTATCTCGTGCTTTATCGTAACTATTTTAAGATTAATCGAGTCAAAACTTTACTTCACTAAAGAAATTAAAACATCACGGAAAAACTATAAACGTGATAAAATAATTTTTACAAAAATTTATATATTTCCTAAAATGCAATTTCGTAGAGTTAAAACCTTAGAAATCTAAAGAACTTGCTTGAAAACGACATGTAATAGCTTACGCTATTACAGCATGTCTTCGCAATTTGAGGCTGCTGAGGTAAATTGCACTCTACGCGACCGGATTAAATGCGCGAATGACGCGAATGTCGTCTCTAACTCGCTCTTGTAAAATCGAGAGAAGCGCCAAGTACAGACGCAATTTGCTGCTAGCTTGAGAATGTCTGACGTAGTCAGAGCAGTGGCCTTTGCATTGGCAAAGGCAGATAGTAAAAGTAAAGACCTGGACGACGCACAAGAGGAAAACTCGCCGCGATGCTGTTGCCGTAAATATTATACAATTCCATCTTTCCTTTTTACTCATGTGAAAATTCGCTAACATTCAAGTGTGAAAATCTCTTACCTAGAAATTTCAACGTTTCTACAAATCAGGAATGTCGATAAAATGCGTATAATTAACATTTATCCATTAAAATATTCTTCTAAAATATATTTAAGAATTGTAAAGAAATTGTAGAGAGAGAGTTAAAATACATTTGGAGTTGTACAAAATTTTGCCCGTTTTTAAAACTTTTTATCATTACTATTATGGGCTTCTAATCTACATTTCGTGAAAAATGTGTGTTTTTACACATAATTTGATGACACACAATGACGAAAAATTATTGCACGACAAACGAGAGTAATCGTCGTGCGAGTCGCAGAGAGAGCAAAGCGCTTCACTTTCCTCGTTCTGGTCGGGGCCAAAAGCGTTTCAGACGTTCCACGAAGCAGCAGCGACGCGAGAGAGCAACCCAAGAGCGGCCCGAAAAACAACGAGTACGCGGTCCGTGCGGTGCGTCATGCGTGAAAACCTACGCGCGCGTCAGCCTGGTGGAACGTGCGTGCTGAGGAAATTTCTTCGGCGACTGCCGACCGACATGGTAATGCATCATTCTGCCCTTTCGAGAAAATCTCACAGGCCAATGGGTAGATCATTATCACATATCTATACATATATATGGTGGCGTGTTTAAATCGTCAAGAGCGTGGCAATTATTATGATTCTCTCATCACGAGGAAACAATTAAAATACATATATAATATTTATGACAAATAAAATGACCGAAAGCTATTCGAATATGCGCACGTATACAAAATTCTATGAGCGTAAAATAACTTAAGTCACGATATTCTGTTCGCGCAATTTGCCGCAATTCGAAGGGGAGAAAGAAACTCGCCTAAAGTTCAAACTTCTTTTGTTTTTCCCACACATGGAAGTGAAGAAATGCATGAGAAGAAATCAATCGTGGCGTCGATCAAGGTTAGCCGCATGGATAATAGGCGTAGCCATCGATCAATGGCGTAGTCGGAGTCGCATCGCGAGTCGACCGTTAGAACTTAAAACGAGATTATATTCGAGAATAAAAGGAAAGAAAAAAGAAAAACACGGCGCGAAGAAAAAAATCTTGGCGAGAATTGTGTTGCATATTTTCGGGAAATTTCATGTCGCCTGAAACTCGACTCGCGATCCGACAATTCGCTACCGTTATAACGACTCTCGTGAGACACCCCATATATCTCTCGCCACGGAGTCGGTGCACATATGGGGTACATATAACCTTGAGGACATAGTTACCTTCTCCGTTGGTGGTAAGCGAGCCGGGAAGTGGCAGAGGCGTGCTGTTTTTGCACCGACGTTGATCCCCTTCGCTGGGCGCAAGATCTGAAAATAAACAGGCAACCCTTGAGAAGCCGCACTACTTTCCTCGCACAAGATTATTCCTTCCTCTCTCAATTCCCGCCGCTCTTTTTTCCACTCTCGCACGTGTTTTGCTCGTTCTTTTACGAATATAAAGAAAGATACAGATACGTAATCATTTGCAATCATTCCGCTTAATGGAAAAATAAAGAGGCGAACAAAAAAATGTGTATCTTGGAATTATAGTGATATGAGCGATTTTGCAGCGTCATTGTAATGCATCGTCGTAGACTGGAGTTTGTTATCGCGAGACGATCGAGCGGATCGATGAGGTTGATTTTCACGCGAAACGGGTGAAAAATCTCGCAATGTGCGTTGCAATGAAATAACCGGTAAACATCGGCAGCGAGATTCCACGTAATTTCATATGACCAGATATCTGTGTCCCCCGCGTGCGTGGCTAATTGACGCAATACCGGTCTCGGATTTCCTCGCTTCATCGAACGGAATAAATACGATCCTCCGCAGGTGCGCGAGGATGCGTTCGCTTCTGAGGCGCGTCGTGTCAACAGTAAAATGACTCGCTATCGCGTTCTATCGACGAATATGCGTAGGCAATGAGAAAAACGAATCGAGTAATTGAATCTCGCGCTCTCTGTTTATTTATTGTGCAAAAAATCATTAATTGTAACTTGCTATTCGATTCAGTTTCTAGTAGCTGACCGTAAAATCCAGCATGGGGATTAACGGCGCTGACCATTCGCAAGGATTTACGGTCGGCCGCGGAGCATAATAATGCAATAATTTCCGCGGGCCAGAAGAGACAGAAACGGCCAAGGTAATCGCCAACTGCGTGATTCATAGTCCTCGCAGAGATTCGAATGTGTCTCCGTCTCTCTCGTGGCGACACAAAAGAGGTGACAGAACCGTCCAAAATAATGATTCGCCCGGGGCGAATAGTTTATTCGCGCACGCCACGACAAAAGTCTCGTATAAGAAGCGGAACGTTCATCTAATTCGCGATGGAACAACTTTAACTCGTCTATTTTTCCTTCTAAACCCAGTGGCCGCATTTTAGCGCTCTCTGACACATCTCACCGTGACTTCTTCCTCGTTCATTCTACGATTTTATTAAACATTGAACTTGTACAAATATTCAATTCATTTTGTTAAAAAATTATATTAAGAATAAAATGTAACAATAATTGAACTGCATTTGCTGACTTAAATGCGATAAACATTAACAGTTAAAAATAAGATATCTTGGCGCAAGATGCTCTTCTAAATATCATTATGCGAATTAAGATGATTATATTATAAAAGACCTTAGGCTCAAACGGAGGATCAGTATGCTAACTCTAATTTTAAGGATAGACCATAGAAGGCCGAGGGTCCATTCACTAAAAGAGAGAATGACGTCAGACGAACAAGTCGAACCAAGAGGCGGTCACATTCCTTTTAGATTCCAGAGCCTCGTTCCCGCAGGAGAAACATTTCCTGCCCAAGAACATTAGAGGAAGCGACGGAGAGTAGAAGCGAAAAAGGATCTCGAAAACAGTCGTCTGTTTTTAGGACGGAATTATCTAAAAGTCCATCCGGCCTTTCTCTCTTTTGTCACCGTCGCTAAGTGAATTTGCGGGAATTCTACTCTTTCTACCTTTCGCCGAATCCTCGTCCTGTTACCCACGTGAGAGGTTGGCTAAATAAATATTTTCTCTAATTATAACGAAACTAGTGTAATATAATATTTGAACGACAAATATCGAATACATTTTCCCATTTCGTATTCAATGAGCGAAAAATCCTCAAAATTTTTTCCACCCTTTTCTCTTGATTATTCTAATTATATTACGAAATTTTCGACAAATGAGAAATCTAGTTTAAATAATTATGTTTCAAATAAGAACTTGCTGGTTTTAAATGACAAAACATTAAATCAAGCCCCGCTTGATTTCTCACAGTTTTTACGATTCGCGGCGATGCAGCGCGGAGCAAACAATCAGAGCGCGCGGACGATCATCGGCGCAAATATTTGTCCGGCCGATAAGGAACAAATTGACACGCGGATCCCGCGGTTTATTATACTCGGCCGCGTCGGCGACCGATATACGACACACCGCATCGACGTGCAAATACGTTTTATTTACAAAGTTACCGAACGCGAGAGCTCGCCGCGCGATTTTGGCACACGCGTCATTCCACAAAGGGAACTGTAAATATAATTCTGCGAATTACGAGTGTCATCGTAAGTGCCGCACGAATCTGCGAGATAGTGTCACCGCCAAGTTTGCAAAAATATATAGATAGCCATGCGGAAGATTCGGCCGGCGGCGCCACCGCATTCACCCGCTCGCCCGCTCGCCCAAGGTGAGCGGATTCGTAAATTATGGTCCTCGTTTTGGGCAGAGAGCCGCGATAGAGATAGAGGGAAAGAGATGCCGCGCGCGACAGTATCTTTCACTCCCCGACGACACGGTGACTGCATTAAGAATCGTTCACATAAGTTTGAATATATCACAATCGTAAATAACAGAATCGTTATCGCTGACTGCGTTTCTAAAAGCTCGATTTCAATTTTTTTACGTAACCTTTTTTTTTACAGGAACGATATTAAGACTTTGAATTGAAAATATTGTAATATCATGAATTCTTATCGCGTTTTGTATATTGTATCGTCGCGTGAATCGTTGTAAGGTTGAATGTCGTGACATTGGAAGCTGATCAACGTCATGCATTATAATGCGACGCACTTGCGCAAGGAGCGTGTTCGCCGAGGGACTGAGGATGCGGGCAAGCTGCATCGAATTAGGATCTCGCGGCGGATCATCAAACGCGGCATCTCGTCGGGCTCCTCCGATCCGGAAATCGGCGTGCCTGCCGCGCTCGGTGCTCCGGGTCTGCTCGCAAACGCTGCCGGTGCGATCGGTACGGCGAAGGAGGCACCGGAATGCGAGAGAGCCACTCCCGCCGATCGCCGGCGGACTCGTGGCGGTCGGTCGAGCGGAGAGACGAGCGGAGACCGAACGGAGGATGAGAGAGAGAAAAAGAGAGGTTTCGTTATACGTAAGTTCCCACCGCACAGGCTGTCGATAGCAGATCTTCTCACGAATTTGCGACCGACTCCTTTACAAAAACAAGTCGATCGCAAATTCCACGATAAATTATAATTTGTTGCACCTTGCAAACTTCAACTTTCAACACTTCATATCCGACGTAAGCTAAATTTTGTTATAAAAATACAAGGCGAGTTTGCGTCAAAGTTTGTTATCGACGACGACGAATGTGGTGGAAGGATGTTCTTTAAAAAGAAAGAAATATCAAACGCGCGGAAGGAGGCAGAAGAAGACGGGATAAACGAGGAAGAGAAGCAGAAAGAAGAAGCTGAGGAGTCAGCAGCGGAGGAGGGAGGAGGGGGGGGGGAGGGGCAGAAATGCGTGCGTCGAGTTTGCTCTTTCGAGCAAAGTGGGCGAGATGGTGAAAGACGGAAAGAGAGGGAAAAAAGAGATCGGGCAGGAGCGGTCGGACAGCGAGGGAGACAGAAGAAGAGAGACGAAGAGAGACGAAGTGACAGTGAGAGAAGGACGGAAGGAAGGAGAGAAGGGATGTATTCAAGGACGCCGATGCGGGTAGGCAAGCGTAAAAGCCAGGCGACAGGCGCCCGCCGTGCACAGGGCCTCATGTTACTGCTACACGTCAGCCCCTTCTCTTCAGCCGGCGCTAAGGGACCCTATAACGTGCCCTTAACCTTTCACGGACCAGCGCGACGTATCGGAGCCTTCGCGCTCCTTCAAGGCTGTGTACAAAAGTTCCGAGCGGTCGCGCGAAACCTCCATCAGCGGCGAACCTTGCGCCGAGAAAAGAAAGAAGCGTCGTAAAGCTCGGGGTACTCCTCTAATCTCGTGATCTCGATGTTTCTCCCTTTCACAATGACTTGTTCTCTCGGTAAAATGACAAAGGCGGAGCACATTTTAAAACCGGTTACATCCACTACCGCGTGTATTCTTTACCGCGACAGGTGGGCCGTTAACAAGTTTGTTCAGCCGCGTTTTCTACACATTTTTGCAGCTTTTGCGTTACTTTCCTTCCTACGAAAGCAAATACTTGTGTTATTTTTTTACACTGAAGATAAGGTATTGGAATTGAAGAGAGAGGAGCTACGAATGCGACGCAAACACGCTCACCGCGGCAAAAGTCAGATCCGATCTAAGGGACGAATCGTGGGGAGCGGAAATTAAAAACGCAAGCCATGTAATGCGTAATACGCGGTCACATTTGTCCTCGCGCGTTTGAAAGGGACTGCTGTGGCACGTTGTCCTTCGTCGTATTCGTTGAAATTTGCGCAACTGCGCCGGTGGGACTCCGTATGACACGCAGCAAGTAGCACGTGCGGAAATCAAGTAACTCCACCGTAAGAATTCGCAATAATAAGAGTATCACATCGTTAATGTAAAGCTATTGTAGCTATTGTAATTGTAAGAAAAATGTTGGATATATACTAAAGTTATTATTACAACAAATGCGAAATAATATTGTACCAGTGAAAAATATTCTTCACAAAAAATATATAGCAAAAATAATTTTTATTTAATCTCTAATTTACTGCAATAAATCCAACTTTGAGACTGATCTTTCTTTCAAATCAAGATAACTTTCTTGTTTATTTATAACTTTATATTGATTGTGTGATGTATTCAGGTTAGACACGAAAAAATCAAAGAAAGTTTCATCGATTTAGCATAAAATTTATGAGAGCTATTTACGAGAGCTCTTCAGACATTTGCATAATTTCTAATTAAATAAGAAATATATAATATTACGATAAAATATATAAAATCACACGATTGAAAGAGAGCGAGATTATGCGAACCCTCGGTATACGTGTCCGGAAAAACGCGGAGGTGATAGGTCGACGATTACCGCCGTGTTCTTTTTGTCAGTCAACCCCTTTATTTTCCTCCCACGAGCTCGCGCGCATTCTGTGGAATTTTCCCGCAAATCATCGGGGGTTCGGTTGAGCCGCGCCGTTTTACGCTACGAGCATCGCGTCGCGCAGCAACAAGTGGCGGACTTTTATCCACCGTCGCCGAGAGCGCGCTTCGGCGCGGTGGCCCAGTTTCCGCGACGGGGCATAAATTCGCGCGTCGTCGCCCGAAAGACAGATTTACGGCGGGTCTCCTTCTTCCGAGAAGAAACGGCTGCGTTTCCTCCCACGCCCGTCGCTGGCAAGAAACGTACAATCCGGGGAAGCGTTTTCGATTCCGTCGTGTGTGTGTGTGTGCGCGCGCGCGCGTAAAGTGGAGCTGACATTATTAAGTCATGAATTATTCACGATTAACGAATGGTAACGTTAACTACGCGATTGTCATGCTACGTATAATGGTGAGCTGGAAAGACTGACACGATGAATTGTAACTGCGACACGATAATATTAACGCAACTATAAATTTATCGGAAATAAAAAGAAGTTACTAGCTTGACAAAATTCTAAACAAAAAAAAATAGTGAGATGCATAAATCTTTATTTTATATGAAATTCCTAAGTTAATCTTTGGTGGAGCTTCGATTATGTTGTTTAGATTCAAGTGCGTTAATCTCAATCGAGACGACGACTGTATTTATAACGCGCCCTGCAGATTTAATAATACCTTCGAGAGCATTGGACCTGTGGCAGGATTCTCCTTTATATAAATGCGAGTTGCTCGCGGTATGTATGGGCACAACACACGGTCCTCTCTATCGATAGGAGATATTGACCTCAGGCAAAACACAGCACGCGTCCAGCAGTATTTGCTGCTATAAAGTGCGTCTACTAGAATCTATAGCCAGACACACAAACACACACACACACACGCACACACATCATCGCGACTACGCGGTGCTCCTAGCTGCAGGCGCTTTTATTTCGTCATATCGAGCTTGGCACGCACGCCAACGTCGAGCAAATAGAAATGTTTACTGTCAACTACTTTTGATAAAAAAAATACATCTGAATAATAAATGATATTATTATTATTGACATCGATTCTTTATCTGCGATATCTGCAAGACAATATTTACGACACGGCGTTTGCGACAACACTGACTTTACTTGATTACACGCCCAGTATTTTTCAAGAAGATACCGATGAATGAAAGAGGTCGCGAGGGCTCAACACGTCTATTTGCGTAATTGCGCAACCGCCGAGAGATTTCTCGGTAAATGAAAGGCGGCTAAAGGCGAATCTATCGATGTGTTGTGTACTTTCGTGCGCTCGCATCGATCTCGAGAGAACCAGTTTAGGATCGGGGTGCGGAAGGAGAAAAGAAAGAAGCGCGCAGAAGGCGGTAGTCAAAATCAGACGAGGAAAGAGGCGATGCGGGAAGAAGCAAGAGGAAGATGCAGTCAACAGAAAATCTCTCCCGGTATCTTTCCGCGACTCATCAAGTGATTTTTTACGTTTATTAGCTCTTTGATTCCATGATGCATGCATGACGCAGTTCTCTGCGTTTGTTAAAATTCACTTAGAAGATATATCGAAAATATAACTGCAAGAGGGGCTTTTTTTAATTTTAACTTATTGTTAAATCATGTGTGTTTTTTGTCAATTTTTGTGAATTAATAAAATGAAGTAAATCACAACATCACAGTGAATTCAAACGTTGATTACATCTACTAATAAAGTAATATCGTTAAATGTTAATATCGATGTCTCGCATTTTCGCGATGCATGCAGTGAGATCGATCAGCGTCCACCTGATGGATTGGTTAGCGGATATATTGATCAACCGCTGAAATGTCGATACTATGAAACTTATCGGCGTATTGCAATCAATAAGATCGGCTTACAGCACAAATAATTACGCACATATAATTAATCATAGAAAACTGAGTAAATACACGTTATGTTGCTTTTTTATTTAGTTATCCAAACTTATTTTCCCTTTATATTTAATATAGAAAAATAGAAAAATGTATTTATATTTCTTGCAAATTTTCGCAAAAACTCTTAGTTTTATTCGCGAAATATTGCGCCGCGACAGATTGAAAATCCTCGACGTGTGTGTCTAGAATTCTATTGCAAACATATGAATGCCACGCATCTATTCTTACTCAGCTTGGTCTAATAAAATCGATTTTATTCGCGACGGAAGAATCCATTTATCATTCCAGAAATTCTCGTTATTACAGTTATGAAAAGTGTGAGCAGATTACAATGTCATATATTTATACCATCACATAATTCCTATTTTTCTGCCTTCTACGCCAATAAAGAGCTCGTGATGCACACAAAAAATAATCGACATTTTGCAATTGCACTTGTTGATCTTGTTTACAGATCTTATTCGCGCACAACGCACGAACGTCTTAATATATATACTAGTATACTTAATAGCGCACTAATTAGATCCCTGAGCAACCACGTCGAAACGTAGCTTCGCTTCACAAATCGAAGAATCTAAATGAATAAAAATAATGTGTTAAAAAGAGAAGTGATTCGGAGAAATAATTCAATGCGTGGCTCTTTCATCCGGCAGATTTCTAAATTCGTAGTTTTAAATCTTCTTAAGTATCGATTTAATCTTGACCGCGAGCAAAGATGAAACGAGAGATTTCACCGCCGCGAAACTCCGGAAAGATAGAAACGGTGTCACTCGTATTCGTCCCGGATTATCCCTAACCTTGCTTTGGGCTAGGTCGTGAGACACGACACGCGCGCTGGGAGAGAGAGGAGTCTCGCTGCTTGTACGGTAAACGTTTGCAAGCAATAAACATGAGTTATCGCCGGCATGGTTGGACGAAGACAACACGCACGCGCGCGCGCACACACACATGACGCATACATGCATCCACATTCACTCGCAAAACACTTCTGATTACGGTACGAAAGACAAAGACACTCACCTTCAGCTCTCAGTCTGTCGGCGATAAGGCAATATGGGGGTGGCGGCGACTCTGAAATCAAAAGAAATAATTGTTGTATCGTCATGCAACTCAATATTCAGGATGAATGAAAATGCTGGCGTTATATAATCAATACGGTTAAATATCATAAAAAGTAGAGGCTTCTTTTTATTTGAATATTTGCATATTTTGGCAGTATATATCGGAGACGAAGAGATTCGGACTCGATGCCTTCAGAGGCATGGGCCTGCCTTTCGATTAAATACATCGGATTAATAACATCGGCGTCGAGCGATGCGAAATATCGCGATGAACGGCGGGGCGCCGTTAGAGAAGTCCAGGTCCAAAAGCGGCGGAATCTATTATTGGCGTGCAGCGCCGGCGAAACCGGTATGTCGTTTTTAATCCTTTTACGTATCGCTCTGAAAGTATAGAGGACAAACCGCGACGCGAATATCTCAAGCGTCAAGGTAATCTGACGCTCCCTGTGTCTAAGAAAACGAAACTCCGCCGCCTCCAACGCTCGCGACACATGGTCGAGCACATATGCGCAGGTAATTACGTCTCTGAGGAATTCTCGCCGCGATCAAAGGAAAGCTCCATTTCTTAACAATATTTCTTTACAAATGTTTTTACGGTGTTTTTTGTGATTTAAATGCTGAACCGTATTTTATTGTAAATGTATTTCGGCAAAAAATGGGATCGCTCGTTTTTATCGATTATCTCATTCGTTTGAATCAAAATTTACGTCACACGACAACAATAATAATATTATATAATCCGAAATTGATATCGCAGATTATTATCAGAGATCAGCATCGCTGATTTCGATAGTCGAAAATCATGCAAATCTTCCAGTCGGGTTTTGAAGGAAAGCACAGATTTCTCGACTACTGATGAGAGAATGCTTTGAAGAAATCGCACCGAAATTCCTAGATTCCGTGCGGCGTCGACGCGTAATGGCCGCCTGTCGCGCCTACACGTGGATCCTCTCTCGCGACTTGTTTCTCTCTCTTTCTCTCGATCAGTTCGATCCCTCTCCAGAGTCGGCCGGCCGTCGTGTCGTCGCCGAGCTTTAATAAAGCCAGCGCGGATGAACATGAAATTAGATTCACTCATCGACGTGCATCTCAAACTTTGAGCCCGAGTTGGCACGACGTGAATAACAAGATGCGAGCGCGATTTAAACGGCGATATTTCAACCCCCAATTAAGACACTTATAATAAACGCGTGGCGCTCCCGCAACACGTTACGTAACACGCGCCGCCGAGTGTCTTTTCCAAGCGAGACGCGCCTATTTCTAGGCCTGTTTGTCCGATTGTCAGCCGCGAGAGATAAATGTTATTACATTTATCGAACTAGCCGTCCCGCGTTGCGTATCAATCTCAAAGCGGAATTTCCGCGTACGGACGACATCTAAGAACTAAGAATATTTTCCGCTTTCATCTTTCTCTCAGAATAAAAAAAAAAAAAATAGATTGCACGTTTATTCGCGAACGAGTCCTGATAAATCGCATCTCGCATGAAAAGTACATAGTAGTCGCTTCCTCGCACTTTCAGACATGAATGAACGCACACGTCGTAGAGTAGAGAAGGCGGAGAAAGTCACGATGATAAAAACCTGCGCCGCGACGGTTTGCGTAACGACGACACAGCCGCCGCCGCCGCCACTGCCGCCGGCTGGCCGATGATAATCGATTCGCCGACGTGAATTATTAACCGGCCGTCCCGCGGCAATGTTCGAACGCCGGACGCCGAATGCAAAAACAGATAAAGACGGCGGATTTGTGTCGCGGCGTTACGAAAACAAGGCGCCACCGCGGGAGCGATTTACGCACGATAAAACGCCGCGGTCGGTCGGCGGCGATCCGATACGAAATTAGCGTACGCTATCGACGATCGCTGACAATGGTCGCGTCCGGTGTCTGTTTGCGAACCAGCGAGGTTGCGCGTAAATTGAGCCGCCGGGAAAAATAGTCGAGTTTAACCTCCGTCGCGATTATTGGTCATCATGCGTCATTGCATATATTGAACATGCGCGTTATTTCAAGCAACGTGAGCTAAATAACATGCATAATAAAGCACTAAAATAAATGTGGCTTGAATAAAAAATGTATGTGATACATTTAGAAATATGTAAAAAATATGTTTTTATGACAAAGCGACTTCCATGTATATTTTACGCACGGCGCGATTATCAGGAACCGTTTTACATATGTATGTATATAATTTCTCAAATTAAACTGTCAAGCTTCTTTTAAAGATTTATTTCGGTTAAATAGTAAAACAGTTATTTGTTTATTTGTTTTGCAATTCTTTACTCGTCTGCGAAACGTCAAACATTTCAATGGTGATTTATATACGATACGCAAAATAAATCTCGCGAATGTAAACACGTGGGTAGGCGCGCAAAACATCGTTTCAATGCGTGATCAGTCTTTGTTTTGAACTCTAATTTAAGTGTCCACGGAATTTGCACCGATGCGCAGCGAATTTAAATTCCTAGGAAACCTATTCCCGATCCGACAAAACCGCTAACGCGAGCGTCCCCGAGACTGAGAATATAATAACACACCGGTACTAGCCAAAATTTTCGACGCCTTCGCTGCCCCCAATTTCGACGAACCTCAAAAATTTGAACGATGGAAGGTCAGTAATATTAGTGGATGTATTTATACTAGCTGCCTCGAAATCTTTATAATGATAGAGCAAAGTAATAGGAGACCAATTTTGAGATAATTTTTTGTTTTCAAAAATCAAAGTCTAATTATAGCTATTCAATAAAAATTAAATTTTAATTTTAGAACAAATTTGTATGATATATACAATATTTCTCTTATCAAAGTTTAAAACAATCATTTATTTGTAAAAATTTGTAAATATGATTATAGAGTTGTTTGAAGATTAAATTCTAATAAACAAAGATTATTTTTATATTTTATTCTTTATCCAATTCCAAGGGTATCTTAATAGGTTAAATTGAAGTGCTCAAGATTTCATAGTAGCGTCAGAAATTCGTTTTTTTTTTCTTCTTTATCAAACGGTCGATATGAAGGCGAAGGGCTGAAAAATGTTCTATTTTAACGCAACCATCCGTTTCACCGATACGGCGACATTTGGTTGGTGCGACTCTTCGAGCACAGATCGCACGATGCGAGGTCAGGAGAGCTGTTTCGAGTCAAAGTGCCTGCTTGCCTGCTTTCGTAGGATTCGACTCAGTTCGGTCAGCTCCTCGGCTAATGCCGGCTGGCCTCGACAATTAGCTGGCGCCAGCAATGACACGCAGCGGCGCCGGGTTGCGGCCCCTTCTCCCTTCGCGGCCGCCGTGCATCCCACCTCGTGCTCCTCCCCGCGTGATCTCGCGACGGTCCCGCCAGGCCGGACGGTATCTCCGCACGCCGATCCCCTCGCCGTCGCTGTCCTTCCCTAACCGCACATGCTCGACGGCGCCCCGTTCTCAGTCTGCCACCCGCTCCCGCCCGCCGCCTCGCTCTTTCTCCGTTCGTTCGTCCGTCCGTCGCGTCCCATCGTTCTTTCTCTCTCTTTCTCTTTCTCCTTCTGCCTCTCACACACAGTCGCCGCCTCGCCGGTCGACCAACCCTTCCCACTCTCGCGTCATCGTCTTTCCGCCAGCCGCGACTGACTCGCCCAATGTACGTTTTATTTTTAGACTCATTTCCTTCTGGCTATAACTTTGATTGTATGATTATTGACGAGCACTCTTTCTCGTCGTCCATACAGCCCTAGGTTCGCTTTTTTTTTTCGCGTTTTCTTCTCTCTCAACGTTACTCCGCGTAAGTCTTTTTTTTCCTCCGCATCGGTCTTCCTTCAGCACGCAGTCGAAGTATATCCGCACGCCGGACGCGTCTATTTCGTCGTGCACGATACCCCGCGCTCTCTCGCTCGCTTTCTCCCGCTTCTCTTTACCCAAATGCGTCGGCTTCCTCGGGCGTGTATATGTGGCGCGACCGCGCGCTATTATTAGGCGTGGAAACCTCAGCGTGGAATTCGAAGGATCTTGTTTTCCACGGGCGTCGTGCGCCGTATTAATTACGAAACACACCCGTCGCAGGCGCGATTTTATCTCGCACCTTCGCGATCTTTTTCTCCGGAGGTGGATCGGTCGCGCCTATTTGATACGATTTTCCAGCAATAAACGCTCGATATTATCGATAAATCGTGCCCGCGGTGCGTTCGACTGTAACGAGTCGACGTCATCGTGATTAGGCCACCGGCGCCGGTGGGCACTTGGCCGCGCACGGTTGTGTTACGAGCGTCGCGCTCACGTAGAAAGCCGTATTTTTCTTACTCAGCAATTATGTGAAATGTCGTCTTTAACCTTTCAAACGACTGGTGTGTGTCGGCGCACATACTTGATCACGATTCTATAACTTTGTCGTGAAACTTTAAGTGTGCGGCACGGGATGTGTTCGCAGCGGGTTCCTATAGGTTTCTACTCGCCGCAAAGCCGATTTATTACAACTGTGAAAAGAAGAGCTCTACAATCCGTTATAGAAACAAGTGTCGTAGCGCGCGAGACGACAGTGTAATTAGCCAGCATTATTTGTAGGCTCGATTAAGGAGATTTACGAATATGGAACTCTTACACGAGAAATGATAAATATTTGTCCGATGCGTGTTCTCGCTATCGGCCAATGTTTGTAATTCCATACTTATCTAAGGGAGCTAAACTTATCAGATACTTGTTAAATAAAGTTTTCTATTTTTAATCCGGCTTAGATATATCGTGACGCCTAAAAACTCTATGTACATATGATGTTTGAGCAGTTCAATAAATAAAAATTCACTAAAAATAATTGATTTCGTTAGTATTCGATATAATCTCCAAAAAAAGTTAAATATAACTTCAAATCATCGAACAAATATTGGGACATGGCTTGTAAGTTCTTTGAGATAATTGGAAAATATATCATTTATGAGTGTAATTTATACATTTTTAATGTTTGAGAGAAATGCCTTCTTTGAAATTTCTTTTAAATTATGTAACATATTATTTCGAGCGAGCACGTTTCGAGATAATATATTCTTCATTTCGATCGCGCCGTGCAACGCGCGCGTGGCGATGTTAAAACACCGCGTGCCACGGTTCGCACGATCGAATTTGCTCGGCTTGGACTTCGTGGCGGCAACAACGGGTTAAATGATCGTTGGGGTTACGTAAAGGCGCGTTTTGCTGGCGCCTGCTCGTTCGCTTCCTCTCTCGCTCTCTCCTACTTTATAGTACACGACGCTTTTTTGCGGTCGAAATCACGTCGCCGGACGCGGATCCGGGACACGGTGCCGCGAGACTCATAAATTCGACGTTTTCTTTAAACCGACAAATACTATGAATACAACGTAAACGGTAGAGTTATGTGTCACTGCCGGACGCAGTTATTAGACATACGAAGAAACGTCGTTTTGAAAAGCCTCTTCAAAGCAACTTAAAAGAAACTTCAAAGAAATTTCGACACATTCGAGTTCATTTTCACGTATCCGTCGTTATCTTGCGTAATGCACGATCAAATAATGAAAATGGTAAATTACTTCAAATTTCATTAAAATTACAAATATTTTCTTCAAGTTAAAATTTCCATTTGCAATGCTTATTCTCGTCGTTAAAATTCTATTAAAATACATGAAGGTGCTTGAAAAAAAAAAAAAAAAAAAATTTAAAACGGCGGCTCATTATTAGTTCTAACTCTTTCACCTGATGTTAAACAGCTGGCTAAATGGATATCTTCCTTTTTAGACATATTCAATCGGTTCCTTTGTGCCGTAAGAGATTCTCGTAGCTACACTCAGATTATGACAAATTTAGATTCTAAGGAAGAATAGAGATACAATCGGAAAACCAATCCGCAAAATAAATATTCGTTGGTGGCCGCCTTTTCAAATTGCTGGGCGGATATATCTGGAGTGAATCTGAGAGTTGTAAAAAGGCATTCGAAAAGGTACAAGACCTGTTGTTGGCTTTGAGAGTCTATACCTATTATATATGCCTTCGTTCGAAAAAGAGACCTACCACTGTGTTATTTTCACCGTGTCGAATGTGTTTCGACATTTCGAACTCTGATATATTATCCTTCATTAACTTCAACTAAATTAAATATAATCCCATACTCTAAATGTACCAAAGCGGATATATTATCGTTAAACGTTTCATACTGTAAAAATCCGCATTAATTTTGCGAAACTTTACGCCGTAATTATGACAATATTTTTCACGCAAATAAATACATATGTTGTTTACATCTTTTCCTACCGATAGAAATCATCAATACTGACATCGAAATTTTTTTCGGGAATATACATTTGTTTATGTTTTTTTCTACACTTCTTTGCATTTCGACCACAAACAGGTGGACTTGGTTACATTAGCCCCAACTGCTTGTTAGCATCGGGCGGTGCGCACAGGTGACGATTAACGTTCGGTTTACAGGCTACTACCGTTACCAGCCAGCTGTACATTACGATATTAAATTATTCCGCTGTCTAGACGCGGGTGTCAACGTCTAGACACGTTCGATACGGTAGCGTGTCTCCGAAAAGAATCTATCTACCTCGAAGTGACCTGATTCTTTATATACTTTAAACGAATACAAATTCACGTTTAATTATGAAGTAGCTTGCGAGGAAAGCATTCTTACGTTGAGATTTTATTAATTTTCGTTTTATAGCAAGATATGTTACCAAATATAATAAATTTTACTCCGATCAAATTATTTCAAGTACAAAAATGTTTAAAATAATGCATAATTTAATTGCAACGTCATTTAAATTCGCTTTAAATATTATAAATATTTCAAATTCGATTGAGCAACGAATCGTGAATTTTGATGTACGATATTTGGTGCGAGTCAGCGGTTGTTACATAATCCGACTCGCAGTCGGTCTTTTCAGTTTGTTTTCTTCGATACTAATAATAAAATTGTGAAGGAAACGAAAAAGATGTTCACTCACCGGGTTTGCAGAGCCGGCTCCAGTGGTAAGGGTTGCAGCATATGTATACGGGATCTTTAGCGGAATGGCAAACAGGAAGTCTCTTGAGCTCCGAGGAGTGCATGAGATCCGGCCACCGCCAGATCTGACAGCAGAGTAGATGCGGATCGCTCGGCGCGCTGCCGACGCTTCCCGGCTTACCGCAGCATCTGTCCGACGGCGATCTCATCGGCGACGACGAGTCCTCCGACGCGGAGCAGCTCTCCTGCTCGTCCTCGACGGAGGACGAGCGGTGGTGCCTGCCGGAGCGGTGGTGACGATAGTGACGATAGCGGCGCTGATGAAAGTGACGAGGATGATGACGTTGCGGTCTGCCGTTGTTGCCGAGGTATTGCTGCTGCTGCGGATCGTACGGGTGATCCTCGGCCAGCCGCTGCTGGCGCGGCACGAGGACGCACGGGCCGAGAACGGCGCCGTAGCTCTCGACGGCGGTCAGCAGCATCTCCAGCTGATTCTCCTTGAGCGACTTGAGGAGCTCTTTGCACCTCAGCAGTCGGCCGGGATCGCGCTCGTCGTCATCCTGGCTCGCGTCGCCACCGCAACAGCCCTGGTGCAGCCTGCTGGACGTCGTCGTGCTGCGTCCCCCGTAAACCACCGCGCCACTTCCTCCCACCCCCGCGCCGCCGCTTCCCGATAACGTTGTCGCTCGCGTCGCTCTCCTGCTCACTTGTTGTCGGTCCGTCGTCGTCGTCGTCGCGTTGTTATGATTATTACTGCTCGTGTTGCTATCGTAGCCGCCGGCGCCGCTCGCGTTGCGATGAAACGTACGTGACGATGAATCCTCTTGAGCTTCACACTCGGTTTCATGCTCCCCACGGACCTTGGCCTTTAGCAGACGTCTAGTGAGCACCGTCCGTTTGCTCCAGAACATCAACATGAAACAGGATTTGCGGTACGCGCATTTGGTGGCCAGTCCTTTTCAACGTAGCCGCCGTAGGAAAAACGAAAGGAGGGAGAGGGCAGAGCCGGACCATGCACGTGGTCGGTCGGAGACGCGTTCGTGTCGGGGTCGCGACGGGCGCGCGCGCGACCTCCTTCCCTCGGCACTCTCCTCTCTCCACAAAATCCCTTCTTCCTCTTCTTCTTTTTTCTCTTTCTCTTCTTCCTCTTGCCGACAAACACCGAATATGCACTGTCAACCGAAAACACTTCTCCGTGCACACGCGAAATCACGGATGGCGGAAAGCACACACACACACCAGCACAGCAGTCGCGCCACACGCGCAAGCGTGTATATTTATTTATGCCCGCGTGCACGCGTATCTCGCGCGCACTTTGGATCACGATCCCGAAATAGTGTGACAGTCCAACGCGCGGCGAAGCTCCGTTTCGCAAACTCTCTCTCTCTCTCTCTCTTGTTTCCTCTCCGGTTTGTTCTCTCTCCGACCGGCTAGGCGAAAGCAAACCGGTGATATTTCCGACTTGCAAGGAGCGCCGATGGCAAGAACGGTTCACCTTCGGATAAGTCTTTCGACAGTGTAAACGAGCTCGTCGGCTCCAGCTCCACCAGTGACTGACCTTGAACTCTCATTTACCTCTAGTCGTTTCGGCCGCTCCTCTTCTTCCAAATTTCAGTCTCGGAGTTGTCGCGACCAAGTGTCTTCTCCGTTCTCTTTGTGTCCAGATTATTATCGTCTACGAACACCTCTCGGAAGTAAGCAATCCGCACGACGGCCGTGTGCGCGAGTCACTGTTAGCATCGCGGACAGGCGAATTCGCCAGTCGACGACGACGTTTGCGACGCACCACGCGCGCGAAAACACACTCGGGTGCGACAACGGTCACCGTCGAGGTTACCGACAAACGCGCACACTGCTACTGGATATATCGTTGCACACTTCTTATCCGTTTACACACGTAGACGGCAGACAGAGAGTGGAGTGAGAAAGAAGAGCCAGCGCGACGAGGAGGAGAAGGCGAGGGGGTGAGCGGGGTGAGCACGAAACGAATCGGTCGGCGCACGCACGACACCCGGCCTTTACTTTCCTCGGTCGTCGCGTATCGAGGGCGACGCGGTGCCTTAACCTCGCGACCCGGCACACCGACGGAGACGCGCACACAGAGACGCGGCACGTGTGCGCGTTTATATATACAATGTACGTATGCACGTATGACAATGCGCGGTGTACACACACCGGCGACGTCGCGTCGCGAAAATCTTTCCCGCGGCGCCGCCGCTGATCCGCTTCAGGAGGAATTCGCCGCGACTCTCGCCAGCTGCCGACGCGGCGGCGACAACAATAAGCGCAACGACGACGATGACGTTGTTCTTGCCGAATGGCAGTGGTAATAGTCCGATCTCGATGATACTCGCGGCAGAAGAACGCGATAACGTCGCTCCCAACGATCCGGCGTTCGTGCCGTCGCCAATACCGGCACCACCGCACCGGCGGTACCGTGTAGCGACGATGACGGTGACAACGACGACGACGGCGACCGCTGCCACCTCCACCACCACCGCCGCCGCGGCGACACTCTAACAACCTCAAACTCGCGATCGTCGCTCCGTCGATCACTCCCCGTCATCCGTACGCGCGTATCACCGAGTGACATTTTCCGCTCGCATCGTCCGTCCTTCTCTCTCTCTTCTGCTTCTTCTATCTCTTCACGTTTCTTCACGCACGCACACACACACGCCGCGTACGCGCGCACACCGCGTTTCTCCGTCTTTCACCGTGACACGACGCCGGGACGACGATCCCTCACATCCATCGCCGTCGCTCGCCGGCCGCTCCGCTGCTACTGTTGCTCCTACGCGAGAACTCGTTCGAACCGACCAAACGCGAGGACGCGCGCACTGTCACATTCTCGAAATCGCTGGCGCCCGCGGGATGGAGAGAGCGCGAGCGACACGCTGGGGCGGCGAGGTGAGCGCGATCGAGAGAATGCGACGGGGAGTGGGGGAGAGACCGGCGCACACGTACGTAATGCGACGGGATCGGACGTATAACTCGATGAGGGCGAGTGAGGTCGAACGTACGCGCCAGAGAGAGCGGCCACTTCTCTCACGCGGTTGCTGCTGCTCCTCGCGACGAAACGATGCTTTTTTTTTCCGACGAGACGAACGAGATCGCCCGTCTGCTTGATCGCCGTTTCCTCGAGCGAGCTCCTCTTCCACCGTATAACTCGAGCGTGTTCGTTCCTTCTGCACCACCTTCTTTTATTGCTCGCGCGCACCGAATACCTACAACCACCGTCGACAAACGGGACGAACTGTTGCGCACGACAGAGAGCTGCGGCGCCAACTACTCCGACTTGACTACGCTCGGCAATGCGACTGGCACACCGCACGAGGTTTCTCTGTCACGAGCGCCTCGTACTGACTTCCACCACCACCGCCGCCGCCGCCCGTCGTCGTCACCCTCTCTTCTCGCCCCACTGTCACCGATCTTCCCTTCCCTCGGCGTCTCACCGCCTAGACGACTCGTCTCGTCCCGTCGTCCGTCTTGTCCCACCAGCGCGCCGATACACCGACCACAGCATACTAAACACATAAGAGAGAGAGAGACTGTCAAACATGGCCGTGCCAGCGGCAGCGCCACGATCGCCAGGCAGCGGCGCCGGGAGATTCGGCGTGCCGCTTCTTTTAGCGCGGCGCCTCGTAGGAATCGTGGCACGTAGGTACCGCAAAACCTCGCGGACCTCGTCACCCGAATTTCAATCGAAGCTTTTACGGCGTTATGCAAATGTATGAATCATCGTGATGTCAGGATTAAAAGATCCCGAAAGATTCTAAATATGTAAATAACTTTGTAGCTATTTATTTATCTGCTTTTAAAATGTTGCTATCCCCGAAGCAGACTAGATTACATCATGTTTATACATGCAAACGCGCGTTCTCTGTAAAAAGTGAAAATATTCTTTTTCCTTTGTCGACAAAAGGGCGAGTGGGTTGGGACGATTGTAGACGAATGGACAGATAAACCGTAGAGACCGGAGCCGAAGCAGACTGACGCCAGTATCTCCGTGAGTGCTCTACCTTCTTCGAACATCGTTCAACATTCCAGGACAAATTTCACGAAAGTGCGGCGGACGTCAAAGAAACATCGGTTACTATCGGTGAACATGTCGGTTAATATGGGAAATATCGTATGACAAAAGAAACGGCGGTGAAATTACTGCAGCGTCATGCGGCTACGAATCTTTGAAAAATATGCGTCGCTCTGCTTTTCGGATTATATGACAAATTACTTTCTGAAGCACACCGGAAATAACAGTAGGTGCTGCTGTATATAAATTCTATAGAAATATTTCTATAGATATTTCAAATGTGTTAGTTTTCATCTTGGAAAATAAGAAAAATGTCAATTGTTCTCTTAAATTCCTTAATATTTGCAAAATTCTAAGATCGACATGTAATTTACAATAAAAAATTATACGTTTATTTTTAAATACGAAAAATCTTCAAAATACGCAACTGCGTAAAGATTTATTATAATTACTTTTATATTTAAATCCAAAATTAGTTATCTAATTGTAAGATTTAATAACTTTCATAGAGTTGGCAATCGTTTTGAAATATGGAAATTGGAAAAATTTCAGCTCGCGCGCGCGTGGAATCAGAATCGCGCCGTTTACTGGCCGTCGGCTCGCGAAATACGCCGTATGCGCACGGCGTAAGTCGCCTAATAGTGCGTAAATCATGCAATTTATGTTAACCGAAAGAGAAATGCCGTGGCGCGTTTAATTTGGATCGCCGTGCCGGCCGGCACGGGGGCAGGTATACAGGAACGCGGCCGACCGATCGGCCAAAACGCTAAAAAAGGATTGCGAATGGCATACCATCGCGCGGGGCCGAAAGGATCTCTCTCTCTCTCTCTCTCTGTCTCTCTCTCCCATCGCTCATAAATTTTCTATTTTTAGAAACTTGTTCCACGAACCCCCGGTGGACGTAATTTTGTAATAGGCCGCGCATAACTTCGTTCGGCGACTTTATAGTTACCGGGAGCCTATAATTTCATTTTTCTATAATCGAAACGCATCATCGTAATGTAGCACAACACTCTTGGACCTCTTTCCAAAGTGTCGTTCCGTCTCTTTCTCATTTCTCATATTACCAATCGTAATCTCCCTTATTCCGCATCGGTGGCATTATTTGGAGAAGCGAAATCGTGCCAAAGTTCCACTAAAATCAGAATTCTCGGGCGAATAAAATTTTCGTGCCGAGAGAGGATCACTCGGTCGGAAATTCGGCGGAAATCGCGGTTCACGCAATAACACAATTAAAATAATGGAGCCGATAAGTCGCGACTCAGCGGCGTTTCGACTCGATATCTCGTTCCACAATCGGCTGCCTTAAAATAGTGAATGACGTTAGATATTTATGCCTCGCGTAATTTGCGCGTCGCGCGCGATCTCGGCGAGCCACGCGCGGGCATCCGTTTCTGACTTTTATAAAATGCTCTTCGAATACGACGAAAGCTGGGCAGCGTGCAACGATCCGTCGTCGAGTGACAGCGTGATATTTAGATCGAGTCGATATAAAAAAAAAATCGAAGAATCATATTACTTTACTCGTGATTTATCGAACACGACGGAGTGAATCATGACGAGCGGTGGCGACATAAAATCACATTCGCCAGACTCCGATGCGAATGTCCCTACTAACCCTCTCTCACGTCCTCGCTCGCGACGAGTCGCGACGAGGGTCTAGACGCGTTATTTCACCCGTCGGAGCCCGCTCCGAAATGATATAGAATTTAGGAAGTTATTTAGTTATGTACGTCTGGCGTCCTGCGCTGGCTAGTAATCAGACGCCTGGCCTCCGCGCGAATACTATCTCTTTCTCTCTTTCTCTCTCTCTCTCTCTCTCTCTCTCTCTCTCT